ATGGCTGGAGTGTTGTGGGGATCGAACTACAGCAAACTGAGGCTGCCAGCATTGTGGAAGCAGCCACTTAAAGAACTGAGCTAGGGCTGGGCCCCCTGCAACAGGGAGTTTTGTAAGGCAAAATCTCTTCATTTCCAAGGCCTCTGTTCATCTGAATGATTTATGGTCCTCTTTGCCAAAGGACACCAACAGCTAAAGACCTGACCTTAAAAAAGAAAATAAAAATCCAAGTCACTAGAATTAAGAACAAAGTGAACCCCTTGGAAGTAGGCCCCTCATACAGTCTGAAAACATCAGTGCCTTTCGCAGTCCATTAAGATACAATACACTGATGTCTCTTCCCTCAAAGACTAGGTAAGAAAGGTAGCAGTGCTGAGAGGTACAGAGAGCCTCACTACATCACACCCCAAGCATGTGAGCTGAATGCAGGCGCCTGTGGCAGGGGCTGCTCGCGGCTGGCCTAGTCATCCGCTTGACTGTGCCCGCTTTCAAAAGCCAGCATCATAAAGCTGAATAACATGACATCACAGTCCAGGACCTGGTGAGAGATGGTTTCTTTTTATTGGGAAATTACTATGGCCAACTTTCATTAATGTTGAAGTTGACCAAAAATGTTAAAAGTGGAGAATAAGGCCAATACCCATATTCAACATGGTAGCTTGCTTTCAGGTACGTTGGAGGGGGCTTCTCAAATATTCACAGCAGAGGTGTTCATTTCTCTTGCCTTTTCAGCTCTAGATAATCACCACAGTTGCTGGGAGACATGAGGTAAAGTAATAAACCCAATGGCTATTGAGCCACCATGGCCATCTTGAATTCTGATAGAAAAGGTACCCGTGGCCATGCCTTACAAAATGCTTAAAGCTCAACAGAAGGCCTTAAATAAAGCTAAAATCACTTATTGCCTGAGTTGGACAGGTTACAAAAACCACAACTTTCTCCCCTCCTATCTGTATCACCAATTAGCATTTTTTTCTTTTTTCCTTTTTTGGTCTATTTGAGATAGAGTCTCACTGTGCAGCTCAGGTTGGCCTGGAGCTCATTTTGTAGCCCAGGCTGGTCTCAAACTCACAATGAGGCTTCCTGCCTCAGCCTCCCAAGTGCTGGGATTATAGGCATGTGCCACCACACTTGCCCTAATGTTAGCCTTCTTCGAAGAAAATGTTGTAAATGAAATTAGTCTTCAAGCCAAGAAACAAAAATGTAGGCACGCTAACCAGAAAAACCAAGCAGATCTGGCTTGACATGGGACTAGTAAATAGAGGCCTAATTTCAGTCTAAGGCTCCAAAAACTCAGAAGAACCTATCTGAAAAGGGAGGTGCAAAAACAATAGTTGATACAGTGCATCAATTAGAAGAAATTTGTGCATCTTAAATGAAAAGAATGGTGACAGCAAAATGCAGATAGTCACAATGACTTCACACATTGCGCCAACACTACAGGACAGGCACTTCCTACAAGTCCAACCCTATAACCTGTTAACCCAAGAGCCCTATCTAGGCTCCCAGAAAACACCAGGGCCCTCGCCCTTGGCCGACCCTTCTCCCCAACCTACACTTGAGCCTTTTTTGAGGAGGAAGTTTCAAGGCAAGAGCTGTTTCTGAGACACTGCTAGTGCTGTCTGGCCCTCTGTGGGATCAGTCACCACTAGAAAGCAGACACCGTCTCCTTCAATGTTACCTGGAATTAGCCTTTACCGGAGCTCGCTGCTGTCAGTGCAGCACCAGCCCAGAACCCCAAAGAAATGAACAGAGCTTGGTTGACATGTTTTGAATTTGACGCCTTAATTTATCATACTGTGATAAAGATTTTATAAACAATGCATCTCTACTTATGTAAAAACAATGGAACTTGTTCTTAGTCAGATGACTCAGCTCTGATGGTTGTTCTTCAAGCCATGTGATGCTAGTAATTTTGACAGTGAGTGCAGAGTCTGAAATGTTATGCAAGTCCTTTGCTTTTAGATAGGGCTATATCACAAATTTCCTTCTTTTTTGTCCTGAAGTAATGCCATTTACCTGAATGGTTTTATAAATTCAGACTCTGACCACACAGGGAGTAATCAGGAACTGTGGCCCCAGAACAGAAAGGAAATGGCAGGACAAAGACCTCAGGAGGCTCGGTACTATCTGAGGAGGAGACCGAGGAAAGTCACTCCCGACTCATGGGCAGAGTTCACAGTTTAACAAGTTATACAAGGAAGTCAGCTGATTGGGTTGCTTTTCAAACAGGACTTAAAAGAGCCAGTCCACAGCTTCCAGGTATGTTCTCCAAGATGACCTGCAGACACCTACTGTGCTCACTGCACCAGAACCAAGGGTGCAGGGATCCAGCTGTGCAGGGTGCAGCCCACCACTACAGAGGATGCTTCGAGAACCTTCGGGTCCTGATGCTGCCATGATTGCTGAACATAAGACGGGGGTCAAATCTGTATCTGAAGACAAGAAAAGAAGGATGTTACATTAATTAGCCAGACCCTAAGAACTTCATCAGAATATTAGTGCGTGAGAAGGTTAGCATGAAGGGTTATAAAGAAAACATCACCCGAAGAGAATCTCCTGAGAAAGTCTGTAGTATAAATTTAGCATGAGGACTGAAGAACGTTTTCACTGCAAGCCAGCAATGTTAAGATCATGTAGTATAAGCTGAAAGGAGAAACACCTAAGGTTCATCTTGACAGGAGGCACAGAGCAGCTAATTTTGTTTTTTTCACAGCCCTCTGCTCTTGCACAGTAAGACACAAGACTGGCAGGAAGGATTTCCACAAGTGTGCACCTCCAACGTGTATCTGAACCTGGCTTATGAGTACAGAGAGGTCCTCTGACCGCCAAGAAGACCACAAGTGGGGCCGGCCAAATAGCTCAGTGGATTAAAGCACCTGCAAGCAGGCGTAGGGGCCGGAGTTCAATCCCCAGGCCTGCAGTGTCAGGCCCGCCTCCAGGGCGCGCTGAGCCAGCAATTGAGACTGGGCATGGTGGCGTGCGTCTGTAATCCCAGCTCTTGGGAGGCTGTAAACAGGTGGATCACTACGAGTCTGATCTAGTACTGTGACCCTGAACACCCTGTAGACCCTTCCCTAAAATACAAACAAACAAACAAACCCTGCATGGCACTGATGTGAAATGTATGGTACAAAATGAAAGGCCCACTGATTCACCACTCAAGGGGAAAGGGAGAGTAAACGTTGAAAGGTAACTTGAGGGTAGACATGGCAAATTTAAGGAATTACACTGGCCTGTGCAGGTAAGAAATTGTGGCACAACTATTATTTGAGAGCTGTGATTGGCCAACATTTTAGTAAAGGGCTAGATCATTAATATTTTAGGGAAGTGTGACTACCATGTCCCAACCACTCAACTTTACAGTCGAGATGCAAAAGTGGCCATCAATCATATGTACAGGAATGTGCGGCTGGGTTCCAACACTTCCACAGAGACATGGATGAGTAAAGTTACAACTTTCCATCAGCTTAGGGCATCAATTCCCTCTCCTATAGTGTCATATAAGAACTGAAATGAGGGATGGGGAAGATAGCTTAGTGGTCTAAGCACCTGCCTGGCAAGTGCAAGGACCCAGGTTCCGTCCCCAGTACTGCATGCTGTGCTAGCCCCGGAAGCCCGGACATGCATTCCAGCCACTGAAACTGGGCATTGTACATGCCTGCAATCCCAGCGCTGAGGAGGTTGAGACAGGAGGATCACTACGAGTCTGAGCTGTGTAGTGAGATCCTCTACACCAAATAAGCAAGAACGAACTGAAACGAGCCTTTCCCAGTGACACCATGATTTTTAACCTTATAATTCTCAAATAAGTGACTGTTCTTGCCTTAGCAGCTCATGTGCCTCACATCCTGGCCACGCCACCAGCACCCTGCTTGTTAGGCTCCTGTGTCAGAGGAGCAGGAATCTGGGCTGGCAGATGAGAAGCATCTTTTTCATCTCCACATATGGTTGATCTATATGTATAAATTTACACTTATTTTTACGTATGTTTAAAGTATGAAACTTACTGTAAATATTCGACTTTCTGTAACTGGGGTTTTGAGGAAGCTGTGGAAACAGTATCAAAGATTTAAGAAGCCTGGGTGTCACTCAAGTTGCACCATGACAAGAACCACAGCAAGGGAAGAGAAAGAGGACTGCGTGTGGACGTGGGGCTGTGCCTGCAGCTACAGCAGCAGATGGCAGCGAGAGCCAAGGGTTCAAGTCACCAAGCATCAAGGACACAGCCTGCCTTCTCTGCAGCAGAACAGACAGCTCCCCTCAAAGGAAAAATGACCCACCATGCTCCCTCATCTTCCAGAAAAGCAGGATCACTACAGTTTTGTGAAGTAGAGACAGGAAACTTACCCGGGGTCAAAAACCCCTGGAGTTCTGCAGGTTGGCCCAGAACAGGACTGTAACATCATCAACCGGTAGTTCATCTTTCCCAGAAGCTCTGGGTCTATACTTTTAGCGATGTTAGTGATCTGGTCTGGGTCTGCAGTCAGATTATACACCTCTACAAACACCTAGAGGGTGGAAGAAAAAAAAAAAGGCCAGGGTTGCATTTGAGCAGATATTCCTAATGTGAGTTATTCCTAAACAGGAAGAGAGGATGCAGATTAAAAAACCTAAAGTCCAGTGGGTTTTTCTCAATTCCAGGCCCTCAGAGGGGCCAGCTCAGCTAGGAGCAGGAATCCATCCATGCTGGGGGTCACATGGGTCAATGGCCCCATGGTAGGGGCCACCTGCACACCCTATGCTCAGGCAGCGGGAAGGGCACAGGGAGGACACGTCCCACCTTCTTGTAGCTGCAGCACAGAACACAGGCAGGGCCTCCAAGGCAAGGTCTCTGATACAGACTTTAGTCATAAATGATGATAGTTACCATGCAAAGATAAGGTTCAGAAAAATGCGAATGTGGGGGAAAGTGCCCTAACTTTTGTTACACAAGTGCTGTTTTTATATTTTAAAAAGTAGCTATGGGTGTGTAACACCAATCAGGGAAAGATTACTTCTCACATTAGCTATGTCTAAGGTCAGGACTTCCTTCTCTCTCTCTGTATGCTCTTTTTAAAAGCAGTCTGGTGACCGTCTGGAAGTCAGTAGGCAAATGCCCCCTAGAATGGCTTTGTGTAGCTGCCCTCAGACCAGCACGTACAGCTATCAAAACCACTGTGGGAAAGAGGAACAAGAACTGAGTTTGAGGGAAACTTTCCAGGGCCCAGTGTGCACTGAGCGGCACGTGGAACAGCGGGTGAGTCAGGTCTGGGAAGCAGAGACCAGCAGCTGCCCACAGGGGAGAGGAGGGGTGCTGGGTGGGCAGGAGAGCGCATGCCAGTAGCAGATCACCAGAGACTGGGGCCTGCGTGCTCCCTCACATCATCTGCACTCATCTTCGCTGGCCCCAAAGCCACTTTCTCCCAAGGATGGCGCCCTTGGGCCTTTGCCCCCCTTAAATCTGTTTGAAAAGCACAGGTCTGCAGTGGGAGAACAGGAGTTTCTTGCTAAGTCAGCTGCTGGTCAGCGTTCTAAGGAAATTCGCTAGTCCTCGCCTCCATGGAAGTTGTGGTGCTTCGCTTTTACCCCAGCCACCAGGGAACTCGATGTGGTGTGAGCAGAAACCCAGGATCACAGAGAAATAAAGGATGGCCCTCTGGAATGCCCTTCACTGAAGGACCCTAAGCTGAGGTGTAGAAGGGACCCCTCATCTCCCCTAGGGAGCACCCCTGGAACTACACGTATGGCAGTGAGTCAGTCTGGGAAGGCATGACAACACCACAGCGGGGGAGGTGCTGACAGTCTCCTCTTACCTCCTGGTCATCAAACTCACAGTACTGCAAATTCCACAGTGCTGACATTGTCCTCACACAAGCATAGGTGTTGTTATAAGCATCTTCACAAATGCAGTCTGGGAAACATTGCTGCAGACACATTTAAAACGTTAAATGAGGACCCTTCTTCCATGGTAACGAAAAACTAGCTGCTTACAGGGGCAACCAAGTTGGCCGAATGTGATAGAAATGGGGAAACCTTCCAGAGAAGCCAGTGAGTCGAAAACAGAAGCGAGGTGCTTTTCTTTACGGCCAGCTAACTTGACAAAGGAAATACACATATGCCTCTGCCATTTGTAAGCTTGCCATCTGTGTCTGCTAATCTTCTGTCAAGAATTAGTTGTAATGAGCACCTATAAAGTATATGAGTTGTCAAGGAGAAGAAATATTCAAATGAGTCACTTTAAGGACTATTAAGAACTATCATCCTAGAACGGAAGATGAAAAAGCTAAAATGAGCTTTGTGGAATTATCTGCAGACAAGTCATTTATTTATTTGATTTTTTTTATTTTTTTGCGGAACCAGGGAACGAACTCAGGCCCTTGCACTTGCCAGGGAAGTGCTTATTCCACTGAGCCATCTCCCTGGCCCTTATTTGATTTTTTTAAGACAAGTACTCAGTCAAAGCTGGCTTTGAACTCATGATCCTCCCTCAGCCTTCGAAGTGATGGGATTATGACATCACATGCAGCCCTGTAAGTTACTTAAGAGTGCTGTCACCAAATACAACCTAACTGTAACCCACTTTATCCTACCTCCCACAGGCTCTGTTATTCCACTGTGGGTTGGTGCTTTACTCTATCACCACTTCTACTATCAGAAGAGTCAAATTCAATTAAAAGCCTGTTTCTCCTTCTCCAAAGAGAGGCCAACATGGCTGCCACCAATGTAAGACACACACAATGCTGTCACACATGGGAACCCCCTTTGCATCAGATGCCGGTAAAGCCATCCCTGACAGAAGATGGTTGGCTGCTGGGAGGAGTGAGATCAGGGAAGAGAACTGCTAAGAGTATGCCCATATACATGAATTTGTTACATAATCGAAAGAAACCTAGGCAGGCCTTCTGCCAAGTGGGCAGCAGCACTCTCAGATCACTGAATTACTTCTGTCAATCTTATCTCCCACAGTCGGGTGACACAAGCCATTCCTAAGGGGTTTCATACTGGCTCTTGCTGTGCTGTAGTGAGAAGCTGTCTAGTGCAAGCTACTACTCACAGACACTCCAGGGCTCAGAGATGGACAGGTTGGGTCCGTGACGTTGCGACCTTCTCCTTGATATTCCACCAGAATATCTGATCGCCAAGTCAAATTACTGCCACCTCTCTAGGGAAGAAAAGCAAAGGCATGTGATTGTGACAAAGATAACAGCATTCTTGTTCTACTGCCAAAGGGAACCTGACTTAACTAGAAAAGCTCATCTAGTGTCTCAAGCAAACGACTAAACTGAATACATATACAATCTATGGAGCATCGTGTCTGGTATTTACAGAGGCTTCAAGTGAGGGTCAAATGCTTGGACACTTACTAGTTCCTTCCCAAGATGACTTCTGTGAAACAGGCTTGGAATGGAAATTAACAGTGTAGCTAATCAGAATCACTGGACAAGTTGCTCTGTTCAGATTAAATCACACTACTTCTGAGATGTATAAAAAAATGTTTAAATCCCTCCTTGAAGTACTCCTCACGCTGAACACACTCGTATCATTCTTGCCACTTTTTTTTTAAAAAAATTATTTTATTTTTTCGGGAACCAGGGTTTGAACTCAAACCATTGCACTTGCCAGGGGAGCGCTTATTCCACTGAGCCATCTCCCCAGCCCCCATTCTTGCCACTTTTTTTTTTTTTTTTTTTTTGGTCAGATCATCTCTTTATTGATATATTTTCTTTTGCTTCTTCGCTAGCTGGATACTCCACAACGCCGTTGTTGATGTGATCTATGATGTCATGAGGGTGTCAGCTGTCCACGTTGCAGCTTACAGATCCCCAGGATCTCCCTAATGGTTCCGGAAAGTTCGCTGGCTAAAGACTGGTGCTGCGTCTGTCGGGCAATGTTGACAATCTCATCAAAAGTGTTATTTCTGCTGTGTTTAATGTTTTTCTGCTTCTTTCTGTCTGTTGGTAGCTCCTTGAGAGCTTTGATGATCAAGGCAGAGGCAGAAGGCACCACTTCAATCTGAGCCTGTCTGTTCTGAATGGTCAGTTTCACCATGATCCGCAGGCCCTTCCAGTCACCAGTTGCCTTGGCAATGTCATCCCCTACTTTTCTTGGAGATAGACCCAAGGGACCGATCTTGGGGGCCAGGGCAGATGTGGCGCCAACTTCACCACTGGTGCACCTCAGGTACACGACTTTAATCTCGTTGGGGTCGAACTTGGGTGGCATGCTGGAAGTGGCTGGTGTCAGATGAACCCGGATTCGGAATGACAGAAGAAAGTTGCACCTTAGCTCCTTCTAGCCAAAAGCTGAAAGGTCTTGCCACTTTTTGAAGCCGTGCTGGGATTCTCTCTTATATTTTCAGTTGCACTGTTGTACCTGCCTTAATGTCCTGCATTGTTTCAAATATTTACCTCTCATGGTCACTTTGACTTTGGGGGAAGAGCCAGAAGCTGCCCAGAGCCAGATCCAGTGCATACGGTAAATGAGCACACCATGGCATGCCGTTAGAAGCCCGCCTTTCCACTGGGTGGCACTTGGCAGCAGCATCCACGGTACTGTTTTTAGCTTTTTGAGGCAGGGTCTCACTATGTAGATTTAGACTGGCCTCAAACTCAGGGCCATCCTCCGTATCCTGAGTGCTAGGATTACAGGTGTCACCATGCCCACCAACGTCACAATATTTTTAATCACATCATGTAAAGATCTCACAAAAGAGGACTTCCTAGACTGTTTCAGAGAAAGACAAGAATGAGGGGATCAGTGTGTGTGTGTGTGTGTGTATGAGTGAAGTGAGTAGGAGTATTCTGAGAGGAATTGATGACTATGTCTTTTACTGTAATAATTTTTGGTTGAGACAGGCTCTATGTAGTATAGGCTGGCCTTAAACACATGACAATCCTTAAGCTTCAGCCTCCTGAGTGCTGGGATTACACCTGGTATTACTGTAATAAATTATTAATATGTAACCATTCACTGTGTGTACTGACCACATCACATTCCATAATAACTGTCCTGAGCCTATATCAAAGTACATATTACCTAATACACACAAGGACTAGACAGAGGCAAAGTTTAAACAGGACTGATGTGCTAAGGGTTATAAGAGGTTCGGGGTGCCCCAGAATAAAGGGACAATCTACACATTAACTTGTTCATCCACAGCACACTGGGGGTACGAAAGGAAAGAAATGGCAGCATTTGAAATGTGAAAGTTGAGGATCGGCCAGATAGCTCAGCAGACTGAAGTGCCTGCTTAGGCAGACAGGAGAGAGGAGTTCTGTGCCGGCCCTGCCCCAGGGGCGCACTGAGATAGTGACTGAGGCTGGGCGTGGTGGCCTGTGCATGCAATCCCAGCGCTTGGGAGGCTGAGAACAGGAAGAGCACTAGGAGTCTGAGCTGTGCAACGAGACCCTGGAGACCCTGTACTACATACATAGAAAAAAATGTGAAAGTTGAGGACAGGCGTGGAAGTGGCGACAACAAGAAGAACTTGGAAGAAATTGTGGATGAAAAGCGTGTAATATAGGATGGAAGAACAGTGGTTTCATGAAACCAGCTTTCAGCAAGAAGGGGTACAGGACAGGAAGGAGGGCTGGGATATGCACAGTAAGGGGCCATGAACATCAGGCTGCACATCTGTTCTATAAAGCAAGCTGGCATGGTTGTACCGTTCATGTAGTCCCAGCTGCTCAGGAGGCTGAGGCAGGCGGATCACTTGAGTCCTTTAGTTCAAGGTCAACCTGTACAATACAGTGACAAGCATCTCCTAAATAAAAGAATGGCAGGTGACAGAAGAAGGGATACTTTGGAATGAGGAAGTAACACTCAAGGCTGTACTTTAGCACCCTGTGTGAGTGGCACATGCTGGTAATCCTGGCCCTCAGAAGGCTGAGGCAGGAGGACCACCGAGAGTTCAAGGCCAGCCTGGACTACAGAGTGAGTCCCTTTTGAGGGAAGAAAAAAGTGCTGTACTTTAGAACAGACAAGCAAAGAGAAGAATGAGAGAGGGAATGGAGGTGGAGACCAGGCTAGAGCTCATAAAATGGTCTAAAGCAGTGATGGCGAGTCGTTTAGTGCTTTCAATGATGTGACTGCTGAGGTTTGCCACCAATCCAAAGGCTGGGTGGGAGCTTGTTTGCAGTGCATCCTCTCAGGCCCTGCCCTGGTCCAATGAGGCCAAATCTGTGAATTAGTAAGACCCTCAGGTGCCTTCCAGAAATGATGCTCCCAAGTGTGGTCCTGGGCCCAGGGGCATCAGAAGCAAGGTCACAGCCTTTCCACAGGTGGAGCAACCTGAGTTATCAAGCCCCACAGATACTGCTGGCAGAGGCTGCTCTGTGAACTCTTGTTCAGAGAAAGCCAAACAGGATGAACACAGGTTGCAATGGGTGCTAGCTTGTGCAAGGCCTTGAATGTCAAGTAAAAGGCATCAGAGACAGAACTGTATCCTAACTCAGTGTTCTATACTGACACCTGAAAAATCCTGTGCAGCTTCAGGGCTCAGAAATTATGAGGAAGCAAGAACTACAGAAGTGCTATTACCCTGAGGAGTCCTCATGGTGCCTGTCGTTAAGCCATAAAAGCTGGGTGTCAGGACAAAGCTTATCTGACACAGGCGACCACCCCTCAAAGCCCACACTGGAGGGTTTTGTGTACAGAGAAAAGTACCTGGAAGGCTACATCAGTCAGTCCTGAAAATACTATACATTAGAATCATGGAGTGAGCTTAAAAAGCCAATATCCCACACTAATTCAGAATCTAGAAGCAGAACCCTGCAATAGAATTTTAGTGTTCTAGGTGATTCTAATGGTCAAGTTTGAGACTCATGGTCCACAGGGATTACCTTTTTTCTCTGGGAAAGGCCAGAGAGTAAATACTTATGCTTATACAGTTTGTTAAATCTAACAAACTGAGTGTGGCTGGGTTCTGGTATAACTTCATCCTAAAAAATGGGGTAGGCTAGATTTGGCCAGTAGGTTGCTCTAGTCCAGTAGAACTTTCTGACCAGAAGTTCGGTATTGGTGCTGTTAGAATGCCATGGAGCATTCTAGTGTACTAGTGTGGCTAGTGTAATGAACTGAATTTTCCATTCTACTTTAGATAACTTAAATAGCCACATATCACTATTCAATTGAACTAATAACATTAGCATTTCACTGGAATAACCTCAAAAACAAATCATGACAAGTGTCAATTCTAAGTAGCACTTTCACAATTGTGCAGAGAAATTAACTATGTACAGCAGAGTAATTTTTATCCTAAAATAAATCTAGTTTTTTTTTAGTTAGAAATACATTTAGTAAGGTACATAGTTGTCCAACATTTTTCAGGTAACTTGAAAAGTAGATTGTAAGTTTACTTGGAAGAGAGATGGATAGCGTCCTGCTAATAAGCAGAAAGAAGTACCTATACAAGTTACTACGCAGCTTTAAAAGACAAAAGGATACTGGTACCAGGCTAGATCTGTACAATAGAAGAGCCAATTGTGTGAAGAATTCTATCTTTGATTCAAATCATAGAAGAAAATCAGCTGTAGATGTATCAAGGATTAGGATGCTCAAGACGCAGAATCTCAACATTTTTTAGAAAGAAAATGAAAGACAGTAACTTTCTAATCTTAAAGTTTAGTAGATGTTTTTGTTTGTTTTTTTGGTTTCATGGGTGGTTCTGGGGAGCAAATGCAAGAAGCTCTCCCCTGAGCTGGACACTAAGCATTCATTCAAGGAATGATGCACACATTTGAGTCCTGTGTTCTCATAGGAGAAGGACAAGCCATAAACAGGATAGGTAGAAACAGAGGCATTTCATGGGGGAAGAAACACAAAAACAATAATGCAACTTAAAAATGGGCAATAGCTAGGCAAACCTAGAGACAAAGAAGGTAAGCGGGTGCTGCAGGGTGAGTCAGAGAGCACAGAGGAGCGACTCATGGTGTGGCTGGGGTTTCTCAGCAGGATGACAAGATCCATCGGATCATGGTGATGGTTGGGTGATTCTGTGCATACACCAGAAACTAGGCATGTACATTTTAAACTAGTGAACTGTATGCGAATTAAACTATTAACAATGATTCACCACAGTAATAAATGCACTGTGAGGCCAAAGATCATTTTTCACACACTAGACTGACAAGCTATATGACAATTTCATGCAGAACTAAAGAAATTCTCATACATGGTGGTAATGTAAATTAATAAGACCATTCTGCAAAATCACAGTGACACGTGTAGTTCCTGTATCCTGGTGTCTACAGTAGGTCATGGGGAGACACATCTAACAATGCTATAGCCTCGTGCAATGAAGTTAGAATACCAGAAATGCCCTGTGACTGACAGAAGACAAAGTTGTGCTGCATTTAGACAACAGGATATCACACAGCAAAAACAACATGGACTCATCTTGGAAACATCACAGGATTTTTAAAAAGCCCAACATTACCCCCAGTACAGTATTGATTATACAGCTCAAAACAAGACCCACCTAGGTAGACTTTTTTGGGAGGCCTACATGATAATTTAACATAAAAACAAAAGCAATAGCTGTGGTGTTGGCCCCACGGGGCAGGCAAGGGATGGGGTTCAGTGGAGCACCAGTACAGGCAACACTGAGGGGGCTTGTTCTGTTCCGTGATGCGGGGGTTAAACCCAACCTTGCACATGCCGGGCAAGTGATCCGCCCCTGAGCTGCATCCCCAGCCTGGGAACATTTCTTTTCAATGGGGTGGTGGGTTCATGGGTTTTTATTGTGATTCATGACTTATGTGACTCATGCAAATTGTCTTGTATGAATGATACACTGCTTAATAAATTATAACACAGTCAGACAAATCACTGAGTAAGATTCACTCAGAACTACATGACCCGAAAGAGCCAACCCAGATGACTAAGCCAAGTTTAGTGCTTAGTGACCTTTCCAAACTGCGCTTGGGCACAGTCACATACAGGCTTCATGGGGATGAGGTGCAGGGGTGAATCAGGCCTTTTCACCATGGCAGGCATCTTCCCAAGGCGGTGACCTCAGAGCTACACCATTTAGTACTGACTTAACAGTCTAGGTTTGATTATGCACAACTGAACCAATTCTCTAGAGGATATTTATAGGGTTTTCATTTCTCTCATAATTTGCAGGCACTTTTGTATACATAACTCTGTGCAGTGCCAGACAGAGTAGGTACTCTAATATTTCTTGAATGGATTTTTTTCCCAAATCAAACTGGTAGGACAGTTTCAATAATTAACACATTGCATACATTCTTCCTAGTGGTTAATTGCTGTACAAGATGCGGACATGATATCCTATTTACAAACACTATT